CAAGTGTGTCATTCACTCTAAGTCCGGAAGAGAACTGTAAAAATGATATGGTCCAAATGCAGTCTATTAATCTTGTTTGTCCAGTGTGTGACGTTGGATACATAGATAAAAAAGAATTTTATGATCACTTAAGTATACATGCTGGAGATGTTTTGTTAAAACACGTAGAATGCTTGAAAAATGCAAATAATGAATTAGATATAGTGCCAAGAGAGCCAAAAAAGATTGACGACGATCTTTATGAAACTATATTAAGGCCTTTCAAGTGCCAACAATGTAGTTCAACATTTGACAGAGCTTCTCAGTATGACTATCATTATCGCAGTATACATCTTGGTGAAAAATCGCAGCTCTGCGAAATCTGTGGTAAAGGTTTCTTTCGCAAAGCAGACCTGAGGACACATTTGAACATTCATTTAGGAACAAATGTTTGTATTTGCGAGATTTGTGGGAGAAAGTTTAATCACATATCCAATTTAATTAGACACTGCAGAATGCACGCTGGTAGTTACATTTTTTGCAAAATAAAATACAAGTAACAAGCGAAAAATCCAAGTCTGACATTATGAATTTTTAGGGATAAAATTGTATCCATGTTCCATTTGCGGAAAACGTTTTACTCAGATTAGTTCCATTACAAGGCATAAACGTATTCATGAAAGAGTAAAAGATGATGTTAAACTTCATTCGCAAACTAATTCCAACAATTGTAACTTACAGAAAAAAGATCATGCAACATACAAAAATAAGGTGATGAGCAAATGTGGTATTATGTATAATATCCTTTGAATATAAGTGTATCTTACTGTAAATGTACAGTTTGTTGAAGGTAATGCACCTACTCAGCAAAAGATTGTTAAGAGACAACATTATTGTAAAATTTGTGGTGAAAGTTTCAATTTCATCTTTCTCTTAAGGGAGCATGAAAAATCCCATTTGCAAATTTTGGAATGCAAAGACCATGAGGTGGTAAGAACTTTGAAAGTAATATTCAAAAACTATATGTTTTTGACCTATTTCTTTCATTTAGAATTTTCAGAAAGCTACAGAACTGAAAGAACAAACACAGCATATTAATAATTTTGACTTTCTTGAAAATGAAATAGATATGAAAAAAGCTTTGCCATTGGATGCAATTATTTATATCACGTCAGAACAGGTAAATATTTTACTGTTTTTACCGTCATTTATCATTTAAAAATATTCCTATATATAATTGATTTTTTCTACGAAAAAAGTTGAAGAAGATCAATTTGGAAAACATTGAAGATAATAGAAATCACGTTTCACAAGAAGATCTGTGTGAAACAAAAATTTTAGGAGATGAAGAATTAAATGTTTCAGAGAAGATAGCATTTAACAATGAACAAACACAACTTGTTCATGATAATCCACTTCTATCTAATGATTCCATAGAAAATGAAAATGTAGCTTATGTTTGCCCACTAGATGAGAATATTCTTAAAAATAAATTGTGCGAGACGGATTTACAAAAATCTGAAACAATATCGAATTACAACACCTTAATGAATACTCCTCTGAATGTTGCTGATTTGTTTCAAAAAATAGATCTATCAGAATCTAATAGTAACGAACATCTTAATTCTGATCCAAGCATACATAAAAATGAAGAAACAACTTTAGTACAAAATGAAAAAATATCCGACGATTTAAACGATATAAATAATATTGTGAATCACGATGAGCCAATGTTGCGTTTAGTACAAACAGAAACAGGGGAACAATTTTATGAATTTCTAATTAACAATTTAGTTGAGAAGTTGCCGAATTCACAAATTACCGAGTCCACGAAAAATTCTGAGAGCAAAGACGATAGTACAAATATGAACGAAGGAAATCACGAAGGACAGAGTATACGAGATGACATACATAACGATTTAAATTATTCACAATATGGACTGCAAGGTGAAGAGAAAAGTTTTACAAATCAAATTCTATTAGACACTCAAAGTGATTTTGATAAATACGTCGAGACAAATTTCGAAGTATTCGAAAGATTAAATTACGATGATAGTCCCGAGCGATTTCTTGAATTTGTTGAATCAGGACTTGAGAACCAAAGCTCGAAAATTTCAGACTACAGCAAAGAGAGTGACGAATTCTTGCAGTTTCAGAATTTTACTGAAATTGATACTGTACAACCAAATGAGAAAGATAGTATTATTAGTGACAATAATAGTAGTGATCAAATTATCGAAATAGATGAGAAACAGAAGCAGAATGAAGATGTAACTAATAGTAATGAAAAACTGGGGGACGAACAAGACTCGAAGAAGACGAAAACATTCTTGATAAAGTTTCAATGTACAGTATGCGAAAAATCGTTCTCAACTAGTTACAATTACAAGCAACACATAGGTACGCATTTCGCGGACCAGCAAAAATTTCATTGTAAAGACTGTAAATTGTCCTTTGCTTGGAAGTCAACGTTAAACAAACACATTGCAAATAATCATAGACCGGATGGTCCGCAGAAGTTTGCATGTGATATATGTAACAAAATTTATAATACTTCCTCGCAAGTAAATGTGAGTACTTTCAAGGATATCTTTCTTTGATTATTAGACTCTACAGTGTCACGAATGTTAAATGACAACGATAGTTATTTTGATACAGGAGCACGTGAAGCGAGATCATCTGAAACAGCGGAACCATGTTTGCTCTCAGTGCGGCAAATCATTTTTTAAAAAGTACGACTTGAAAATACACAATAGAATTCATACCGACGAACGGCCGTACGTTTGTCGCGCTTGCGGGAAAAGATTTCACCACCGAAGTCATATTATTCGTCACGAGCGCATACATTTCTAGGTATTTCTAAATACGTGTCTATAAGTTCACACTTTATTTCAATTCGAAGCATAGGGAACAAATTAGGGGGAAAAAAAAGGATCACAATTATAATTACCTTACAATACAATAATTATAATCGAAATTAATTTCTATTAACAATTCTAATAGAAATTAATGACGATTCTGTTCCATTAAATGATTTACATTACAATGGCGCAACGGCAATTAATACATGTTACAAAGCATTTAAAATACGGTTTTGTAAATGATTATTTTTTAATAAAACGGAAAACACTAATGCTTTATTTCCTCATTTCCTGTTCTCGCTATTTTCATTAAAATCAAGTAGAAAAGATTGAAGAAACTGATTTGTATTCTTATTCGTTGTACCTTCATAGATGAATTAGAAACACCGTGCAAGTTTGGAGTCAATACGTAAGCATTCGTATCTACGCATGTGTAATAAGCAACTCTGATTTCGATTTCAACATGGCTGACGTGTGCGACGACGTGGTGAATATCATGGAAAACCTGAGTGTTAAGGAGGATAAGGAGGATAAGGCACGAATACAATTTATATTTAATAAAATTATTTATTATTGTCATTTTTAGCAGTAAAATATGTTGACGACTTTGCGTATTTGCAATTGTAGAAACCTTTACAATGTTTCCAAGCGGACATATGCTTGGGTTGGTTATAAAATTTCTATTATTCTACTATTTATATTTCTACTATTTATATTTCTACTATTTCGATATCATATAATAACGTACTATGTTTTGAATTTTTATTTGTATTTTAATATTTACTGCTCAAATTACACGTTAATATAATGTATATTATGTTCGTATTCCGGTCATCTGTATCATTAAAATCGATAAACTGATGCAATACATATTACATCTGATCATATATATTTTAACAATTGTTGTGTTATTTTCGCGAATGGATTAACCTAGTATTCTCTAAATTTAATAAAATAATGACAAATATTTGCGATAATATAAATGGTTTCTTTTTTTTAATCTGATAGAAACCAAAGAAAAAGCTCATCGGTATTGAGGAAAGGGTTATTTCTGAATTAAGACCATGGCCAAGTTATATTTATGTATGTTAATTTTCTTACATTTAAACAAATGAAATACAGAAATTCAATTTAAATTAATTTTTGTACATAGTCATCGTTCAAATATTCTCTTCAATAATTACTCTTTCAGCATCGTATTATATTATGGGAGAAACTTAAAGCAGAGTACGATGCATCGTTAGACTTAAAAACAGTTACTGAGATAAAAGTAACTTTCCTTGACGGGAAGAAAGTTATAGCTCATTCTTGGCGTACTACACCATATGAAATTGCCAGAAACATTAGTCAAGATCTAGCAGACAATGTTCTCATTGCAAAAGTTAATAACGAATTATGGGACCTTAACAGGCCTTTGGAATCTGATTGTGAACTTGAATTTCTTAATTTTGACCATCCAGGTGCCCAGCTAGCGTTTTGGCATTCTAGTGCGCTTATTTTAGGACAAGTAATGGAAAGAATATATGGTGGTTATTTATGTTACGGTCCGCCAATAGATAACGGTTTCTATTATGATATGTACCTAGGTGAAAAAGGAATTTCTAATTTGGACTTTCCATTCTTGGAGATTATTTACAAAAAAATAGTTAAAAACAAACAACCATTTGAAAGATTAGAAGTGGCCAAGGAAGATCTCCTGGAGCTGTTCAAATACAATAAATTTAAAGTTCGAATTATCAATGAGAAAATACATACTCCAACCACTACAGTGTACAGATGTGGTCCGTTGATCGAGATATGCAGAGGACCACACGTTAGAAATACTGGAAAAATTAAGGCCATTAAAATGACCAAAAGTTCTTCTGTTTACTGGGAAGGAAATGCCAATGCAGAGTCTTTACAGAGAGTTTATGGCATCAGCTTTCCAGATACTAAACAACTGAAAGAGTGGCAGAAATTCCAAGAAGAAGCGGCGAAACGAGATCATAGGAAAATAGGAAGAGAGCAAGAATTATTCTTTTTCCATGAACTTTCTCCAGGATCCTGTTTCTTTCAACCACGCGGGGCCTATATTTATAATACTTTAGTTGAATTTCTTCGTTCTGAATACAGAAAACGAGGCTTTCAAGAAGTAGTTACACCCAATATTTATAACAGTAAATTATGGCAAACGTCCGGTCACTGGATGCATTATGCAGAAAATATGTTCTCCTTTGACGTCGAGAAGGAGACTTTTGCGCTTAAACCAATGAACTGTCCTGGTCATTGTATGATTTTTGACGTTCGTATCAGATCTTGGCGCGAATTGCCGTTGAGAATGGCAGATTTCGGGGTACTGCATAGAAATGAATCAGCTGGTGCACTAACTGGACTAACCAGAGTTAGGCGTTTTCAACAAGACGATGCGCATATATTCTGCTCATTTGATCAAGTTAAAGACGAAATAATTGCCACGCTTGATTTCTTGAGACACGTGTATTCCGTATTCGGTTTCACGTTTAATCTATATTTAGCAACGAGGCCTAAAAAATACATGGGAAACATAGAAATGTGGAATCACGCTGAAAAAGCGTTAGTAGACGGTTTAAACGCGTTTGGAGAACTGTGGAATATTTCTCCACAGGATGGTGCATTTTACGGTCCAAAAATCGACATAACAATTATGGATGCACTTAAGAGAGCTCATCAGTGTGCTACTATTCAGTTAGATTTTCAATTACCAATTAGATTTAATTTATCTTATGTCAGGTAAGTAGAACTATTTTAAATTAATCTTGCGGTGTAAATTGAAATTGATGCAAATCGATTTAAATTGAAATTTGTTGATTTTAGTGAATCCGGAGAAAGAACGAGACCGATAATTATTCACAGAGCCATTTTGGGTTCTGTAGAAAGAATGATTGCAATTTTAACAGAATCGTATGCTGGAAAATGGCCATTCTGGTTGTCCCCGCGTCAAGTAATGGTTATTCCAGTATGCTCTCAATTTGATGATTACGCGGAGCAAGTAAAAAATAAACTCTGGGACAGTGGATTTATGGTAGAGCTTGATACAGATCCAAGCGATACTCTGAACAAAAAGATACGAAATGCTCAAGTCGCACAATTTAATTTTATTCTTGGTAATAAAACGTATAATATTTTGTCTATCATATACTAAAATGCTAACGTTTAATTGATACATAAACATATTTTTAGTTGTTGGAGAAAAAGAACTTAATGCTGGCACGGTAAATGTACGAACGAGGGACAACGTGGTGCATGGGGAAATTCCTGTTGATGATTTGATTGCGAAATTCAAAGTATTCAAAGAGAAGAAGGATACAAATTGCGAAGAGAAGTTTTAAATAAGCTTTGCATACATGTACAACATATATTTATTTATTTCCAGATCATAATTCCGGTAGGATCAAATGTAATGTAGATCAATAGGATCTAAAATCACGTCTTTTAAATAGATCGAAAGAAATTACTGTTATTAAGATTAACCGTAAAAGTGTAAGATGATTTGCATTTAATTAATTTCAATTAGTATCCAAACTTTGATGCAATGTCAGGGTAGAAATAGAAAATATATAAAAATCTATATCAAATTTTAACTTACCAATTCATGCATGCTTGTAAAATAACGATAAAAATCTTCCCTTTTACTAATTAGATCTTTTTTTTATCCAAAAAACGTGAATACTTTAAATAATACGTGAACTATTAATAAATTAAACATAAATTAAAAATGGAATGGAATAAATTAAGAATGAAATGGTTAATTTACTTAATTTGTTTCAGCTTTGTTTTTTATTTGTTTACTTGAGAATATTTTTACGATAAATGATTTTATTCGAAAGCTACAAGTAAATAATTTTTCATTTCTTGCAGTTTTATAGCTGAAACATTGAGTGTAACTCGAAATATTCATCTCAACGGCTGTGCTCCATAATTTATTGCAGATACTATCAATATTGTATATTGCTGTAACTGCGCCAGTATCTTTTGGAAACAAATTATCGCTGTAAACTATGAATCACATCGACGCAAATGATGTATTGTCATTAAAATCTGTCACAATAAAGTAGTATCTTCAATTAAAGTTGGTTTTATTTGACTAATAATTGTTTGAACAAGAAATAAATGTTAACATTTTGCTAATATATTGTTATAACTAAAATAAAAACAAATTTTTTTTTGTTAATTATTTTCGTTACGAAGTACTATAAGAAGAGGAACAGTATGACAAATCAAATTTTGTAAATGTAAATTTTATACAAGTTATATATATCATATTATTATTGTATCTGTCATGGAAGTGTGAAATTATGAAAAGTTTACAATTCGCTAATATCATTGGTTAATAAATTTAACAAATGATTAGTTAATAAATATCCAGATACTAGATACTAACTAAACTGTAGTATAGGTTGTATCTCTTGGTTTTATCTTGTCCGTGCATCAAGTATTCCTGGCTGGAACGAATGCGCATGCCTGAAAATATGGAGCTTAGCTTCCGGCGAGAATAGCAAGCGGCAAGCATAGAAGCTCGGGAGAGTGTTGTTTGGTTGTTGTAAAATGACAGCCATTACAATCTCGCCGGCTACACAAGGAATTATTCAAGTTGTAAATGAAAGTAACTTGTGTAAAATCGAGGGGTACGTGTTCTTCTTTTTTCTTAAACTATAAAACGTAAATTTAATCTCGATAGGATGCAGAACTTTACGTTGCTATTATTGATTTCCTTGCAGCTTCCTCAATGACACAGCATACAGGGAAGCCATTGAAAACTCGTCGAATTATAACAGCCGACTATGTAGGGAACGACGTTTACGTATGCCTTTCCTCGATTCTCAAACAGGTATTAGTTATCATAATTTTTCTATGGAATTTTTACCCAACCAATATGACGTATATAAAATATAACAAAATTTTTTTGTTAAAATTTCTGTTCTTTTTTTTTTTTAATTTCTACGTAACTGAAAGAAGATATTTGAAATGGACATATTCCGAAATTGTTCAATTAAAAATAATAGGTACTAATATTGTAAATATTAGTATAGTTATCAAAAAATGACAATTATTGCTGTTGTTATTTAATTATACGAAATTGTAGGTGTAGCACAGAATCACTCCGCGTTATTTATGTCTTCGAGAGAAAGGCTACCAGGCTTGTTACATGGACAAATATACACATATCCCAGTAAAAGATGGAGGAAAAAACGGCGACAATATTTGATGCATTATTTGCATCCAAAAAGAGGACCAAGAGGTGACACTGAAGACGGTAATGAAGGTATAGAGACTGTAACACATGTAAATGATGATAGCAAAGATTCAGTGGCCCTTAAAGGTAATAATAATATTAAATCGTTAATGGAATAAAGCGAAAAAATAAATCTCCTAACCTGTTACAATGAGATGTGTTAATTTAATGCAGATGAACATAGTAAAGATGCATGGTACTATGATGAGCAAGACATGTTAGATATGGACACATATGAGGAACCAGATGCTGAAAGTGATTACGATTATGAGGAGAGTTATAGCAGTAAAAGGAAACGAAGAAAACCACGTGGAGGTGGTCACCACCCTGCACGAAATCATCCGTCTTCTTCAGACAGTCCTGGGGGCAAACGTACTAAGGTAAATTTAATACAAATTCGTTAATTTAATTTTTTCGGTATGAGTATGGACTGTAATCAACAGATATCGAATACATAAAGTTACTCAATTGTTTATGCTTCATATCTTTCAATATATTGCTATCAATGTTTACATTTATACGGTCATTTTCATCTGTGTATTTGTTTGTTAATTAATGATGTGTCAATAACTCACGAATTAGAAGATTCTTGTTATACAAAAGTATCTTGTTCTACATTGCTCTCGTCTGGTAATGATAATATTGTACAGCGTTGTACCGAAAAAGTTGCAAAATAAGGAAGAAAAAAACAAACTAATTTGCTTTTCGTTTAAACTCTTGATTTAATTTCTTTGCATGCAACAGATATTAAATTTGTCACGCATTTATTTTATTAAATATAGGGTGGGGGACGCGGGCGCAAGAAAACCAACTATGATGCTGTTGACACCGATAAGCCATTCGTTTGTGACCGTAAGTTTAATCACAGATACAACTACAAATGACCACTTCCTGTTACTAGTTTCATTACAAATATTATTATTATTATTATTATTATTATTATTATCACTATTATTACTATTATTATTATTATTATTATCATTATTAGTTTTATCAGTTGTTAATCTCGAAATAAGAGAAAAAAAAAATGCAGTGCGTTAGAAGATTTGTTAATTTTATTAAATAATTATATTTTTACAATGCCTACGTACTATTTTACAAGATATGCAGAGATTACTATATTAATATAAGATGATGATTGGAAGCTCGAAATAAATTATTAAAGATTTTAGTCTTGGTTGCCGCATAATTTTACATTTGGGAATGGTGATTAAGTATAATCAAATTTGTAACGTGGGAAGGTGCCCTTTTAGTTGTACAAGTAATTTCATGGTTGACTTTTAATGCTCTTTCATTCAGAGGAATTGATCAGTATTGTATTGACTGCTGTTTTCCTTCAAGTTAATGAATTGCAGTATATTACTTAGCATACTCCAGTCCTTACTGTATAATTTCTGTTTGTATCAAAAACCTTGTACTCCATTTCTCTTTTCCTGTTTATCGAAGTATGAAGAGACATGGTATGATTCATGGATGAAAGGCAAAGATTGATCATAGAAAAAAAAAAATTCAAGTTTTTACTTACAAAAAGAATCTATTGATCTAGGTTGTATGAAAGTTCAATGAAACAGTATAATAATAGTATGCCATTCTATATAAAGGTAATTACCCCCTGAAATTGTACAATCGTTTGTCATTTAATTCGCGTTTCGTGAATTCATATCCATTCGCAAACTTATTAATCACGGTCACATATCTGCCAAATATTATTTACTATATATATATATACATATCTGTTGTGCAATAGCTCATACAGCGTTCTTTCTTCTTTCACTTTTTTTTTTTTTTTTCATTTGCCATGACACGCAAAATTATGTTTACAATAGTAGCATTGAGACGAGATATCGAAAGTACTTGGAGCATAATTTTTACGAACGTAACGTCGCGTTTGTCCGAACCTTGAAGGAGTATAATAGTCATTACTAATTTGATCGAACTTTTTCCAGACATGAAGTCTATAAATTAACTCGAATGTGCCTGCAATCTGTTTACTTCTTGAAACCACTCCTGTTAGATTAGCAGAAAATAAATCTAAAGACATTTGGTCTCGACTAGTAAGCCTCGATCACACAATGATAGAGGAGAATACCTCACGATATTCGAAGTTTCATTGGTCTCTCTCAAGTGACCAGTCGAGCTTACGAAATTGGCCAAATATCTTCGGACTTCTATACTTCCTGCCAATAACAGAGCAAGAATGTACTGGCTCACACTGTAGCGAGCTCATTCTGTAGGAGTATACAAGCATCAAGCCTTGCATCGTATTAGTTTTGCTTCTTGGGCTGGAACTCCTTCACTGCTTGTCCACATATAGATTCGTAGGTGGATAGGGATATGTACTGGTGCGGAAGGTGTGCAAATGCTGTCCCTAACCTATAAGCTTCTATCCTAGATTTACTTTAACCGCCCCGTTCTTCGACGTTTCTTTTCTGACGCCGTCACGTAAAGTGATTTCATTCTGTTTCTTTACTGTTTCTTCTATATTTTTAATCTTTACGAGGCCCACTGTTGTTACAAAAGGGATATGAAGAGTATGTTCCCGACGCGGCGGTTAAACAAACATCCTCCCATATCGTCCAACCAACTCGTCGACCAAGATTTCTCTTATCATGGACGTTGCATTGGATGGTTTGTGGGAAAACAGTATTTGCACTTTTGCAGTATGCAGCGCACGGTATAAAACCAGACCTGGTCTGGTCTACCATTACGGTCATTCCCACTCTACTTCCTCCGGTGATCCTGCTAAGGAACTAAGTCCCAGTCCTGCCGAAGTTGAACCTAGGAGCGTTGCAGACACCGCTGCTTCGAACCAGCCAGGTTGGAGCCAAAATCAGCTCAATTTTCTCACTTTCCTTTAAAAAAAAAAAAAAAAGAAACAAAAAAGAAAAGAGAACAAATACTAGAACCCTCTCCCCCCTAAAAAAAAAAAA